ACGATGTGACAAAGAACAAAAATTATGACGACGATCTCGCCACGTGCACCCTCCCAACATGATTCCAGCACGCTTATGGAAATTGTTTTAATTTTTAAAGGTGTCTGTTTAAGTGTAAAATTCTATGTGGTTTGCATTGTCTGTTGACTGAGCATAAGTCCATCCCAGTTAAACTACTGTTTAGTTGAAATTAAAAAGCATGGAAACATCCAAATTTCTCAAACTTTCATATTTTGGTAGGAAATTGATGCTATTTGCAAATAAAGCTGAATATCACATGCATTATTTTTTCTTTTGGAGTGAATAGCTTACACTGACTGTCTTTAATGAAGAAAAGAAGTGGATGCTTCTTTAAATGTCTGATAGTTTTCAAAATCTATCCAGTTGCTTGAGTAACTGTTACAGTTTTCTGCTGAATATGCATGTTTAACCTCCATTAAATCAGAATCTGATGTACTTATCGCTAAATCTGATTACATTTTACAAAAAAAGGATGTAGCCAACCTCAAAAAATTCAATACAGACAAAACTGTCACTGATGGCACTATGTAACATGTCAACCTTTAAAATGTATGTTTGGAAATACAAACTTACCAGTTCAATGTCTTGGTCTTCTTCTGTGCTGTGTCTCAAATGTTCTCTTTGTCTTCAAGTCAACTGGTTTCCTAAGCCCTCGTTTTGTGTGCATTGGACAGGAGTCGCCGGTCTTCACAGGTTTCTCCCAGTCCGCACAGGGACGTCAGGACATACCTTCATTTAATAAGGAAAGGATAATTAGTGTGATGCAAAAACATCTCCCATTCAACACTGAATGGCCATTAAATGATAGATAAGAAACTTGAACAATTGAACTACCCTTTGCTTATCAATAAATCTGATGTAGAAAAATGAAAAATGCTGTAACATTGATTAAAAAATCCAGGCTGTGTGTTATTTCTTTAAAGTTACAGTGACTGTAATTCTGACATATTAGCAACATAAAGAAGTTACCAAGTACTATATACAGATATAACAAGTTATACACTTTCCTCAAATACACCAAGCAAGTGGAATTTGCGAAATGCAGAATTTTTCTCACCTGATATTCTTCTAGGGTCTTCTGGGGTCACCTGGTCTGGTCTGGTCTGGTCCAATCCAATCCAGTCTTGTCAGGTTCAGACAGGAATCATCACTACTGCATCAGTCAGCAGCCACCTAACTATGTAGAGATACCAAGTTACACACTTGTCTCAAATGATCAAGTAAATGGTACGCCAAAATGCAGAGTTCCAATTTTCCTCACCTGGCCTGATACTCCTGTTTCCGATCACCTGGTGCCTCTGCCATCACAAGTCTGATCTCATCTGGACAGGAACACTTGCAGAGCTGGCAAACTCTCAGCACACAGCTAACTACAGAATCACATGAAAACAAGGTCAAGTTACAAGCCCTGTCATACACAGACAATAAAAAGCTTAACAACTAACAGTAGACCAGAAACTTTTGATGCCATTCTTGAAGAGCTTAACAGTCATGTTTAAAACATACAGCTAACATTCAATCACCTAACTGTATAAAGAATAATCAATTTAGGGTATTGATGAGAAAAATAGTACCCAGGAGGAGACTTGTCATTTAACAACTTTTAAAACTTGCTATGCATTTGTAGACACTCAAGGGTACTCTGTACAGTTGGTTTAATTTAACACAATGTCAAGTATTACACTAACTTTACACATGTACATAAAATTTGGTTTCATAAACTTGAGAAGGTTCGATGTTTAGCTGGTTGGTTCTTGGATTAAACAAGAAAACAAATCAGATGCATGTACCCGAACATTACAGAATTCTATCCAATACCTAAAATTATTTCAGCTTCAAAAACAGACTTTATTGCAAAAAATGAGGATTTGGGGGTTGACACAGAACCTGAATGTTACAAGTACATGTTTTTTTTTTATCAGGAAAAAAGGCTGGCAAATCCAAGAAACAACAAGTTAAAGTGGTGTTTCTTTGTCATTTTATCCCAGTCTGAAATACCTAGCCAAATGAAGAGAAATGTTGCATGCATATCGATAGGCAAAATTTCTAGTGTTTTCCATGAGGGAAATTCCTACAAAAATATATACCCATGTTTCCTTTCTGTTTCACAGACAAGGGGCAAAATTATCAGACCGGGTATACAGAAACAAACGTCCTTTTTTTTTCTCTTGAAAATTTAACTCAAGAGTAGCAATACCTAACTGTGATATTCTGGGAGAAGACGTGAAGAGTGAAATGTGAGATATTTTGAAACAGCAACGACCCAAAACTACATACACACACAAACTAACGTGTTACATTCTCAATATCATACAAATTTACCACGAATATATGATACCGAAAGGTATTGTTATCAGTTTGTATGAAATAAATTCTACGGCACGGCTTGTTGCCTTACCTTGTGAAAACTCAGCCCTCCCCACGACCACGCCGTCATCCTTTGGGCGCCATTTTCTCGTCTTCTCCAGAATCCACCACGTCAGGAAATCCGCAATTTCTTCGCCCAAAATCCACAAAACGGCACAACTCCGCAGTAGAACCATCCCCGAAGATTTCTTCTACAAGTTAGTGTGAAAATTTTTCGAACTGGAAGCCGAAAATTAACCAAAAAGGTGAGAGATAATCCCTGGTCTGCCCGCGTGGCTCCGACAGACGCAGACTGAGTGGACCGTACCACGTGTGACTTTTACACAGCTGTGTACAACAGCTGGTCTAATTTACCCTGATAACCACAACTACTTTACCGCCAAAAATCAATCCCCACAAAAAATAATAGCTCTCTGCTCAAAATTTCGGACTAGTTTGTGTCAAAATAACACACAGGCGGTGTCAGCAGCAATAAGTATTCAATTTAGTCAAAGTATAGTAGCCGGAATCTGCTAATTCAATCAGCCTCGGCACCACGTGTTTCTAATGCAAACGGTACCTGTCCTTGGTGCTGAACGCCATCCTCATAGTAAAACACACAGTATGTATGGCGAAAACCACACGCGCGCGCTCGCTTTTTGAGCGTTCGTAAAGTACAGGGACTTGTTAAAGCTAGCCAAACCTTATATACAGAAAAAATGGCATGCACTTGAGGAAGATATGAGTGGAACTGTCAACGGTCTACGATGAATTCACAATGGCAGTGGCTACATGTTACGTTGCATTCGGGCAAGCTGATTCCACCTACATTAAAAATCCAGGCACTAATATAGCTTATTTTACGCTTTTCATAGACTGCACCGATTACATACGCTATATGCTGTTGTATATGAACCATTTAGTCGTCTGGCTACGAATTATGTAATATCAAAACGGCCGATTACGCCCCAGGCTTGCAGGCATTCTTCCCAACAAGTTTACGCGCAAACGGTGCCTGTCCTTGGTGCTGAACGCCATCCGCACAATGTTAAACACATAGTGTGGTGAACACCACACGCGCACTCGCTTTTTGGGCGTCCATGAAATACAGGAACGTTTAAAAGTTTGACAAACCCTACGAAAAAAAGGTATGCTTTTGAGGGGATTAGAGGTCGTATTGTAAACGCCCTACTCCAAATTCACAACGGCTGCGGCTAACGTTATACATGTATGTTGTGTTGCATTCGGACAAGCTTGCTCCGCCTAAATCCAGGCATCATATGATTACGCTTTACGTAGATTACACCGATATTACGCTCTATATTGTCGCATTTGACCAATTTTAGCAGTCCGGATACGAATTTCGTGGGGCTAAAACAGCCGATTATGCCCTAGGTTTGTTCAAGGACGAAAGTAGAGTATAACCGGTATTGCAAATTCTAGTACTCCCCAAGCAGAGGTTTAAAATCCCTGCCTAACAACCAAAAATATAATTGCAGGAATATTGTACTGGCTTTTATCCATATCAAAAGCGCCACTCAGTGACGGGTAAACGTACTGTAGCCACTGGCTTCCATCCACTTGCAGGTTGCATTTGACTTGTGTGACATGACTGTACTAAAGATACCTCAGCAACGCTATACTACAGACATGTCTGACACAGGTTTCTATCGAGAATTTTCTTCAGAATGTGGCCATTTAGCCTGGTAAATATCTCACTGGCTGATATCCATAGGTGTGTTTTGTTTTACTGCATTATGTAACATTAAGGCAATACAAAAAGGAAATTTTCTGGTCATTTCTTTACAAAGTAATTTGAACAAACCCTACTCCATTGTAAATAAGTATCATTCAGGAAGTGGAAGTGCCAAAATATGATGCCTTACGAGTGTGTTTAAAACCTGGAAACGCAGATGTCAGCCATGTTTATTTACATTCTAGCAGTTTGTGGTGGCACCAGAAACTGAGAGTGCCTCGTATGGACTGTTTAGCGCCAACCAAAAATGTCATAAATAATAGATAATTGCACAAATATGTTGAAAAATGGAAGTAAATTGCAGTCACACAAATATTCTTTAAAACAAGAGATTTCAGTGTTTGGTGCAAAAATGTTACATAATGCCCTTTTAGGCCACACCAATTTAATTTGTTGGTTCTCGGATTTGCCTCTTCGTTTTTTTCTGATTTGCAAAAAAAAAAAAAAATTGATTCTGGTCCTTAATCAACTGAAAAATGCTCATGTTTTGCCCCCAACAGTTGAGGAAAGTCCTTTTCTTCCTAGTTGTTACAGTTTTCCCATCTATCATTGCAGTGGTTTGATTACAAGTTCAAAATTCAATGTTTAAATTTTAACCCAGCCTTTTGTGTTGACTTCATGGCTCATTTTGTAGCATTTAAGCCTATGATAGGATGCCTAGACCTGTTTTTATTTTTTTTCGCCGTCGCTTGATACTTTTTCTGAAAAAATCCGAGAACCAACAAATTAAATTGGTGTGGCCTTAATAGCATGGTTTGCTCTAGTTTTACTGAGCATGGCTGCTGACAGGTCATGCCCTCACAAACAACCCCACAAACACCCCACTCTGTCATACCCAGCAACTGGACTCAAACACGACACACGGACACCATCCATGTACAATGGAAATGACATCCCAGAGTAGGAATTGACACTCCAAGGTTTTAATCATTTTTTGCATCATGGAACGTGTCTTTTGGACAGCATAAAATTATAACTCTGTCGGTACTAGAAATATATTTTCACTTTCATGTTGAACAATGTGACCTAGCGATCTCGGAAATATTCAAATCAAAAATAATATAAATGAAATGTAACATCTGCAGGGTGGCCTACATATATACACTTTTGTTTTTAACTTAAAAATTATTTGTACAAATGAAACAGGTATGGCATATTTACATGAAAAGCTTGGATTGCAGGTTTTCGGCATCACATGGGTAAAGATTACACGTCTTGCACAGAACAATGCCTATTGTCATTAGTTGTACATTGTGGTACATGTTAGTCTATGTATGGGCTTGCACTGCTCTGTAGTTTTTATTACACTGAAGTCTGCTGGATATTACATTGCATTCACTAGATCCTGCATGTAATGTACCACATATTACATCAATACCCCCCATGGCTTTACATACATATTCATTCAACTTCTGGCCATTTGGGTCTAGATAAGAAAACAGCAGCCAGCAGATATGAAAATCATTTTACAGCACATCCAACTAAGTTATCAAATGATGCATTGGAGGTTAAAACATGTAGTCCTTTGTTTTATACCAATTGTATAAAGTCAAGCATGTTTTCACCACAAAACAGCAAACATACATGTACACATGTGAGGAGGTGTAGAATGAATTACTTCTTGTTATGACAACTTTGTGAAACAGCAAGGAGGTCTTAGGTACAAAATGGTTAACGTGGAATTTGACAATCTGCAACATGGACAAAGATGGGAGAATTTCTGAGAATCTTGTGAAGTAAAATGAGGTATGATGTTCAAAACAAACACCTTCGTCCATTTTTCTGTGATGGCTAGAAAACAAATTGAAGTTCTGCACTACCGGTATGTACAAATTAGTTTGAGTGGCTTTAGTACATGTAGATCATTGCTCTTGACTTGTATACAGTGGTGAGAATGGTGTGAAGTGTTAAAGTCCTATTGGTGCAACATACACATGCGAACTGGGTGGCATCTCCTGCCCTCAGTCACAGTAATTCATGGCACAACTTGTGAGTGTATACAGTCACCATGGAAGACATTCCTGCTAGGAAATGCATTGATTGAAACTGTGCAATTTTAACCTGACTGTGTTGAACAAGGCAATTCTGCAATGCTTCATTGTGTGCACAGCACTTAAGTCATTATGTACCATAGTTAGTATGTTCCTTCTGGTCTGTTTTCCAACATCTTGCATATCTTCCCTAGCAGGAATTCTCCAAGGTTTTGGATAGACGGTGATTTTGTACGATATGCTGACATGTACCATGTCCCTGTATCTATCCTAAACAGAGTCGGTGTGCAAACTATTGCAGAACGGTTCATGCTGGTAAGAATGGTATCTCACAGGAAAAACTGCAATGCTGTACTGTTAGTGTAACTGTTCCATCAACTGAGCATTATGACACCACATATTAATATTGCCAAGACAAAGCCTCCTCATCCTCAAAATTACAACAATCATAGCACCCTGCAGTATCTGTCATGTACACATCTTTCTAAGAACACTTTTCTTTCACACACTCCTATCTCTGTACACTTTACAGCTGATTGTGACACCATTATGGCTCTTATCCCGTACTCTATGATTGAGACTTCTCTACCTTCCATCACTTCTTTTCTTTCCACTTTTTATCTACTGTACACCATGCAACATTATCACACTGGGCAGTCCGACAGGCTGGTGATATATACATGTCATTGACACAAAAATCTCCTTTCTTCTAGTCTGCAACCTTCAGATATAACCCACTCTCTTCCTATCACACAGAGTTACACTGCTGTTCTTCCGTCTTGTTACTAACAGATGACCAAGCCACTTCTGTCACTTTTGTAAGACACTGCAAATGATTTTACGGTGGCAGCTGCGACAGAGCCAATGCAGTGACTTGGTCTTATCTGTCCAACACACATGGGCTTCTTGTAAGATTTCATATCTTGGTAGATGAAGGAGCCGTAACAGCTGTGTTACAAAAGTGTGATAATAGAGAAAGAGTGGGTAGCTCTGGCTAACAGAGTGTAGCCTGGTTCCTCATGGATACTAAGGCAGATGTACATGTACGCTGTAGTCCATCCAACATTAGTGTTCACGCACATGTCATACACAACAGTCTATCTCTGGGGATGTTTATACCAGATCTTGTGTCACAAAAGATTTCAACTGACCAAAACCCTCACTATGAGAAGATTACGTAAAACTTACATGTTTACAACAGAAACATACTGTTTTTATTTTCCACGGCCCTGCAACAAACTCTTCTAAAAAAATCTCCATGCTTTCTACTTACTTAAAACAGACAAGCTTGTCCAGATATTGCTGGAGTAAAACCACACTTTCTCCTCTAGAAATACAAGCATCACATCCTTTGTAACGGACATATCTGACCAAATAGATCTTTTTTCCTGTCAAAGCACCAATCTGTATTGGGTACAGCACAAGTCTGAAGATCGATACGGAAAACAAAACATGTCTGTCCAACAATCCTGAATGATTTTGCTGTCTCCCGATGGAAAACTGTGGCTGTCGATAGATGAAAAAGCATGTTGGCCAACAATTGCACATGCAGAAATTTCGGTTGCCCCTCACACAATGTTGACATCAAGCGAGAAAAAAAGCAAAGTATACATACAGCAAGCAAAAGTCGTTTGCACTTCATTATAAATTATCACGTCCTCTACAGTTTGTATATCTCCATCGGTCCCTTACCAGGTACAATATATATATATATGTATATATATTTACAGTTCTATGGTAAACAAAGTGCATCCGGAAGCATTAGTAACCATATTGATGCTAAGCTTGTCACTTTTACACAAGGATTGCGGGCCGTTTCCTGGCCCACAATGCACACATTGGCAACTCAATGGCAGATGTTTCGACTTTTCTTTTTCATAGCTACTGTAATTTTTATCAATTGAACAACTTGCAAAATAATCTTCCTCATTCTGTGAAGTTTCTCTGTGGTGAAGAAATCGCAAAGCCTTTGTACTTCTGCACTGCTCTGCGATGACGACAGGTTTTGCACTACGAGTCAAGCTTTTTATGACAAGTACAGCATTTTCCGTGGTGTCACTGGACTGTGGCTGACCTGAGTGACTCTTGTTTCCCATCTCTAGGCTACCAGCAGCAGATGCAAGACTGTAGCTGTCACTGCGGAGGGTACACAAATCAACAGTTTGCTCTGCTCTTTTGGGACCGCTGAAGTCCCCGCGTGGGATTCCGTATACATGACGACGTCAGCAACTGTTGTGAAATGTTTGGCCAGCTAACACTGCAGATTGTACAGAAATGTTTTCGGGGAAAAGCTCTGAATGGTGGTTTTACTCCTTGACTTCCGACACCAACAGAGAAGACAGATGATATGTGTACAACATGGCCCCAGTTATTCAGGGACGGCAACATATTTCCTTCATTGTTGTGTGTACAATATTTACAGAGGCTCCGCAAAATAAAACCTTAATCTCTCCAAGATCTTGCACTATTGTCGTTTTGTTTTGACCCTAAGAGTATGACCTAAACATATTTGAGCAAACTTTATTGCATACACTATTTATGCAGTGTGAGTGAGGCTTCCTTTTTTTGCTATGTTGATGAGATTCCACCATGCAACTCAAAATAAACTTTGATACATAGTATCACAACAACAGGGTTCCCCCAGGAAAACCCCAAACTTGCAGAATTGACAGTTAAAGATATTTCTTTCTACTATTACACATCTTAATATCTTCATATCCTTTGGTCATTTAATGTTACATTATGTAGAGTTCTCCTTATAAAAGCAGGCAAGATTGTCCTCAAAATAGTGAAAATTATTACAAACATCACATTTGAACAGTTTTTGAGAAGTCAACAGGCTCACATTTAACACACACAGACGTTAAGCTAATTCTGCTGGCTGCTAGTCAGTGGTGTCTAATGGTTCTGGTGGCTGGTACTTCAGTCTGAACATTCCTGCAAACACAAAATAAATCAAGAGTTACTCAGATACTCAGAGATATACATTTTTTAAATTATCCTGTAACTTTTAAGTTTCATAGGTTGACCTAAGAACAGTTGGCTGTACTAGTTACTACTTGTAACAGGAGAGCACACTTTCGCAAAAGTCATCAAACTTAAAAAAGATTTATAAGAACAATTTTGCAAAGATTTCATAATTGTGCTGAATTTCCCATTCACTAATCTAACATTCTCTTTCCTTTCACAGTAAACTTTTTTCTTAAGAGTTGTTCTGTACTGTTGGTAGAGTTTATGCTTTCTGCATTGATCTCTCAACCACTTCTCTCTAGCCCCAAACAGTCAAGTTCTGCCCTACTCCTCACCTTGTGCAGACATCTGTTCCATGGTGCTGTCCTTACACTCTCGTGCTGTGTGTCCCGTGGCTCCACAGTTGTAACATGTCTGACTCCCCTTCCCCTTCCCCATGCCCCCCATGGGGAACATGCCCTGCCCACCCTGCAGCATCAGCCCCGGGTGCATGTAGTTGGGCGGCAGGTGCCCGTAGCTCCCCTGGAAGTTGTACATGTTGGCTGGGTTCAGTCCGTTGGGGAACTGCAGCGGGGGGATGTGGGGAAAGGACGCGTACGATGGAATGTTGCTCGGCGGGGGGATGCCGATCAGTCCGTTTCCTCCCAAGTTGGGGAAGTAGTGTCCGAAGTGGAACGGGAAGGGAGAGTTCATGTTGTTGGGGTGCAGGTACCCCGGGTAGTTGAAGGTGTAGTTGCTGCCGGAGGAGGAGCCACAGTTGCCGCTACATCCGCAGTTGCTACACCCTCTGGAGTGGGGCCCGTTGTGTGAGCTGGATGGGAGGGGGGAGGGGGGTG